ATGACTTAGCTACAAAAATAATTTTATCCTTGGGGGGGTCACCACAACACAAGGAACTGTATTAGGAAGGTTGAGAGCCACTGGTGTAGAGAAAGGAAATACAGATTGAACATCCCCAATCTGAATGACTCAAATCCCAAATTCTCAGAATTCTGAAATTTTTATGTGCCTACATATGTGTTTCATGCATAAAATCACTTAAAATATATGAAATTACCTTAGGGTAATAAAATATACATAAAACAAATTTTATGTGTAGACTTGGGTCCTGTGCCAAGGCATCTTATCTTGTCATGTAAATATTTTAAAACATTCTTCCCCAAGTCATTTCATATAAGGACTGCTCAACCTAGAAGAGCTGGCAGGGCCCCCTGAAACATCCCTACATGAAACAGGGTTTCCTGTATTGTATAAAAGCCATTCGGATAGGCCAAACTGTTCCCAGCTTACCCCAAAGCAAGAATAAAGGCTGCAAAACAAACACCCTTAGCATGGCATTCGAAGGTCTTCATCTGGGCCTTGCTCGGCACTCTAGTCACCTGTCACGTTACTCTTTAATGTCCCATGCTGTAATGGCTTGCAGTTCAGCCCTCCCTCTATCTGCTTTGTCAGGGAACAGCTCTCCTGTATCCCCAAGACTTCCTATGGGGTTTTCTGGATGGCTTTGGGTCACCTCTGACATTGCTCAGATTGGCCATGCCTTCTCCTGTTAGCACACATCACCGATTCTGTTGACCTCTGGGCCTCAGCTCTCCCTGTATCAGGGCCCAGCACCGCAGGCTGTGCACAGCCCATGCTGGGATTCAGCAGGGAACAATGTGTTTTCTTCCTGGCACAGGTGAATGAGCTGCCATCCTCCACAATTCACAGGGAAAAGTTAGAGGCAAAGAAGAATGAGCAAAAGAGACCATTAACTGCACCCAGAGAGGCAAAGAGGACTCGGAGGAAGCAGCAGTCTGCCTCTATGCCCAGCAAGTATGATGGCTATGAGGAGCTGCTCACAGTCAAGCCTGATCCAGCCTTTGTGGAACCAAAGGGTATGTCTGGGCCAGGGGCATCTCCTCAGCCCACAACAGGCCATACTGGGCCAAGGTTGGTGCTGTCCTCCATTTGAATGTCCGTCAGGGGGTTTCTTAGGGCATGACAGCATCACTATCCTTTGCTGAACCTTCACTACTCTGGGGTTATGGTTTTCTCAGACTGGCTGGATTAGCTCAGTCGCCCTGGAAAATAGCTCACAAAGGGTTAATGACCAAACAAAGCCAGGTTCCTGAACTCTCACCAGCCTCTGTTAAGGTCCAGTAGAACATCCCCAACCCTCCCCACTGGGCTTGGGGCAGCAAAGGGTGCCCTCTCAGCTATGATTCTATTTACTCTGAAGTGCCAACAGTATCTATGCCTCCAAAGGAGCCCACTGGGAGCCGGTCTCCTGGGAGTCACACTGTTATGTGATCCCTGAGTTTAGGAATCACCGTGAGGCCCAGTCTTCCCACATCAGGCTCTGAACTCATGGGGACAATGAATGGTGAAGCCTTGGGGGGGGCAGATGAGGGAGCCCTGGGAATGACTTTCTTGGGCACTGAGCAGGGTCAGGATGACACTTGTTGCTGCCTTCTCTCTGCTAGGCATCCAGAAGAACGCACAGGCCCTGCATCGCATGCTGAAGCAGCCACTCGTCTGCCGTTCCTCCAAACCCAGGCTGGACACTTTCCAGAAACCCTACATCCCCAAAGAGAAGCGGGTAAGCACTGCTGACCGGCCACTGACTGGGATCCTGAGTTCTGAGGTCTCTGCAGGTTCAGATCTTGGGACCCTGCGGCCGGTTTCCCAGAACTCTCTACTGCCCCCTGCCTGTCGTTATGAGTGCATGAAGTGATAGACCTCCTTACCTTGTGCCAGGCTGGGCGGGTACCAATCCCACCCCCACGGAAGACCCGAGCGCAGCTGCTGGATGACATCCTCATTCGCATGCGGGACCCTCGGAACGTCACTGAAGCTCCACTGAGTATGGTGCCCCTGTCCCACCAGGGCTGGTGTCTAGCAGGGAGGGCTGGTGTGAAGTTAGAAGGGAGCATGGAAAGCAGGGAGCCCTCTGGGAAGTGGGAATTTCCGAGAAGTCTACTGTGTGTGCAGTGCAGGCAGACAGGCGGGAGGCTCCTACTGTCACCACCGGGCACTTTCGGGATTTGAACCAAGGCTTGACTACCCACTGTTGGATCTGGACTGCTTCCACCCAGCAATAGACTTTGTGCATTTCTGGGCCATGGAACCGGGCAAGCCTGGCGCTGTCCCCTCTCATCCCTGCAGGCTCGGTGCTGCAGAGGCGCGCACAGCAGCGCCTGGTGAACCAGAAGCAGTACCGGGAGGCCAAGCGGCTGCTCAAGGAGTTCCGCTCACGCTACAAGCAGTTGGTGCGCAGTTCGCTGAGGACTGTGTTCACTGCCAGCCCGCCACCCAGGCCACCCACCCGCGCTCTGAGTGCGGGCCAGCCCAAATTGGGCCGTTTCCTCGAGTTCATGGACGAGTTCTGTCAGGAGCCCACGGGCAGCGACTCCAAAGAGTAGAGCCGTGCACCGCCCTCCCCAGGGGCTCTGTGCCCTGGACTGTGCCCAGGCCTGAAGAGAGGGGGTTTGGGCTCCATGTCGCTCCGTGGTCAGCATGTGGAGCTCGGCAGGACCTCGCCTCCGCACCCGGCCAGGCTGCACCTGGTGGCTGGCCCAGCAGCAATAAAGAGTGGTGCATAGAGCAATACAGTGGGTGCCAAGCATTCTTCTTGGAAACCAGGCCAGGGCCACAGCAGTGGTGCCACTAAGGGCAAGAGGGCTATAAGAAACCCTCCAGAGTCACTCGTAACAGCTTCAATAAGTGCTGACACAGGAATAGCATAGAAAGTGTAGAAGTTAAGTGGGCTGTAGCCAGGAAGAGGCAGTGTAGCAAAGCAGAGGGCAGGAGGAAGCTTTTCCCATGTTAGGGTGAAAGGAGATGGAATGGTCCCTTTTGAGATAATGGCTGGTAGAAGAGGGGTGGGTTTTAGCTTCCCAGGGTCCCATAATCCTGGACACAGGCTGAAGATAGAACACAAGCATCTGGGCTGGGCAGGCACCCAGGTTCACAGTAAAGGTTCAAGGTAGACTGGGGCTGCTGCATTCTGGGTGTATGCCCAGGAGGCGGCGCCTGCCCCAGGAGCATCTGAGAAGTCCACCAGGGCTATGTGGTGTGGGACCTAAGTCGTCTCCCCTGGGGTTGGCTATTTCTGATCAAGGCAGCAGATCTGCAGTCCTCGGGGTCCAAGAATGCTTCTTGATCCTCAGCAAGGCAGACTCCCCAAATCCAAGTCCCAACTATTTGCATAGTATTGAGCTCAACTTCAGAGATTCGTGAAAGTAGCCAGTTAAAAATGGACTTATCTACACACACACACACACACACACACACATACACACACACACACACACACACACGCATGTGCGTGTGTGTGTGCGCGCGCGCGCGCGCGGTTCTAACCTACCTTCTTGCAGTCAGTCTCCCCAGTAACGAAGTTGACTCTCTGAAGGAGAGCTCCTTCCTTCGTTGGCAGTTTTATTGGTTATGCTATGATGGACTGTGAAGCCTGTCTGCCTAGGCCCCCCCAGTTCTAGCTCTGCTCTTTGCACCCCCATGGCAGCCTATTATCCAGTGTGAGGGCATTCCGAAGAGGGCACACTTGTCTGAGCCAAGTACCACTTCTCTGTTGGCATGCTGGTTGCCTCTCCTTGCTAATTTTCTGGTTATTCTAAATTCTGTGCTTTGGGCTTTTTACCCTAGTCACTGCTTTCTTTGAGAGCAGGGCTCAATCCTGTGCCTCTTCTTCCATCTATGTAACAAAAGTTACAACAAAATCCCAAGCAGGAAGCAACTATGTAGTACCCCATCTCTGCTACTGCTCTAGTAAGACTTGATAAGATGGTGTGGCAGCTCATGCTTTCATTTTTTTCTCTTGTACTTTCTCACAGGGTTTCATGTAGCCCAGGACAGCCTCAAACTACACAGCCAAGGATGACCTTGAATTCCTGATTCTCCTGTCTCCACAAACTCAATGCTGGGATCACTCTTAACTTTCAGATTCAGTTTATGTTTGTCCTTCAGTCTTCCCAAACTGAGCTGTCCAGTCACTTGAGACACTAGCAAGGCTATGGAAGAACAAACTGCTCACACCCAGAATTAACTCAGAATTCCACAGTACAGTAGGTAAAGGGGAAAGACAGCCTGACCACAGCCCAACCAGTTCCATTCCGGACAGCAACTGTAACCACACTGTTGGCCAAGACCAGTGGTAGAGGTTTGTACTGTAAGGTTAGCTGAGGTCACAGCAGCAGAAGGGGCAACCGGCAGCTTTGGAGTCAGAGGGCCCAGCACCTAGGCTCTGAACTGGTACTGCCAGAGTTCGCATCTGTAAAGGAGGACACCCACCATACCTACTTACAAGGGAATGAATAGTTTGTAGAGTGTCTTGCTACTACAGGGACCAAGTACTGAGTACTGTTTTCAGCTGGCTGCATGTTCACTTTAACAACTCTCCCTAGAAAGCCTTGGGTCAAGGGACCTCAAAGATCCTGCAAGTGCTAGCATAGTCTTCCAGGTTTGTCTTCTGAGTTTAAGAGAAACAGGCTAACATTTGTTCTATATTCACTGAAAAACTATCAAAGGTATTTTTATGAATATTTTTAACAATCATATTTCTTAGTACAGCCATAAGGGACGAGGACAATGGCATCCCCTCAAACTCATGTCTTCAGAGAAGTAGGAATGGTCACAAGAGGTCAGGAAACTGTAAATACCGTCCATTAGAATACATCAAAAGGTATACTTGTTCCCTGTGGAGACCCCTACCCCAGTGCCTTCCCACTCATTCTGAAGGCTAAGGTGAGGCCTTTCATCCCAGGTACCACCCTGCCCCCAGAACAGCACCCAAACAAACACTGTCAGACGCAGGTCTCTAGAGACCAATCAGAAACAAACTGTTTGCTTTCATGAGGCTGCTTTACTGCATTTTCAACTTGGGCCTCACCTGGAACAGGCGCATACACATTGAAGAATGCACTTTGGTACTGTTTTAATCACACATCACCCCACTTGATTCCACAGCATTTCATTAAGGTAAAAGCATCCCTGACAGAGCATACCTTGTCCCAAGTTCTCTGTCAAAAGGCTCTGTATGAGTCAAGGGGGTAGAGACAGCAGTGGCAGTCCACCAGGATGCAGGGCCCCTTCTCCGATCCTAATGTAAATAGGCTGAGTAAGTCACAACCACCAAACCACAAGGAGCTATATATAGCAGGTTGCCTAAAACAAGACAACCATTTTATATTTCTAGGTGGAAAGGCTCAACTCTTGGCTCTTAAGACAACTATTTTTGTACAGTTAAGAGTAAACAATATATCAGGTGAAAAACAGAAAGGGGGATGGAGGGACGGAGGAAGGGAGGGAGGGAAAGAAAGAACACCCACTAGTTGGCATTTCAACTAGTCACTGCCGGTCTTGCATAGTATCTGTTTTCTTGCTTTGTTGGAGGCTTAGGGCTGATGGTCATGTCTGATGCAAACTGGGATCTGCCGGGCTGCACTGGTGGCTCAGCTTGGAGGGCAAGTGCCAGCTAGGGAGAACTGACTGCTGCTACAGGAATCTGGCACAAGGAGGAAGCTATGTTCTGCACAGCTCAACACTGAAGCGGTAGGGAACAGAGATGAGCAAGCCTGACCTTATCATGGCTTTGTCTAACTCCTTCTGGACCTGAGATACCAAAAGGGAGGGGGCCTGTTCAGAGCCTAAGGTCAGCCCTCGCACATTCCTGGCAACAAACTCAGGAAACGGGAAGGTACTTTCTCCCCTCAGAGGAAACGCTGGCAAGACACAGAGCAGTCTACTCATGTGGACTTGGCGCTTCCTCTACCATCCACTTTGACTTAACTAGTAACCTCTGTATCTACATGCCTCTTCTACGGAACAGTTTCCAGAATGCTACAGGGAAAAGTGCATTTCTGGGTCATCAAAGGAAAGCCATGCAGCAGTCTAGTCCTCAAAATCTGCTCCTCCTCCTAAGAACTTTAACCAGCTCCATTCTCTCTAGAGGCTAAACTAAGGAGCATTCTACAATTGATGAGGAAAGGGCTGGCTAAGAAAGGTTTAAGACCCTAATGAGTTTGGTTTTTAAAAAAGAAACAGCAAAAGCTATAATTAAAATACAACAAAATTCCACTCATTATTTAGCTCACACTATGGGGTTTTCCCTATTAAGTACCCTATATATTACAGTGTATTCAGGGGATGTAGGTACATCTCAAATGAAAGAAGCAAAGAGAAACAAAAGCCATTCTAAACCTCTGTCACTTAGGTGTCCCCATCATTCACAAACTGTATAACTTTCACTATTATTCATACCTAGAGAACTACAGCAGAAACCAAAACAGTGGGTCTTCATCTAAAGTGGGGCTGGGGCTGGTCCAGCTCTAAGATCCCATGATAATGAGCTAGCCTCTACTCTCTCCTGAGGGCTCTCCACTTCAGTGACAAGCTAAGAAGAAGAAACCTCAAGTTATTGCCAGTTCTGGTGAGAGGTAAGCCCATGGAATGCACTAGGAGGTCACTCAAGTGAAGAAAGGGCTTCTCTGGCCCTATCAGTGGTCCAGACCTGCCTCATTTCTTGGAACTTGAAGTAAATGCAGCTTCTGAACAAGGCAACTGGTCTATAATCACTGCAGGAGAAAATCCAATCTTCCCAGGAAGTTACTTAGGAAATCGAAAAAGAAGAATTAATCAAACTCATAAATAGTGATGAGGTATGGAAAATGTTGCCAGTGACAGGCTGAATGCTAGATCGATGTCCTGAACAGGACCAATGAAGAGCAATGTTACAGATGAAATGGCTTTTCAAAGATCATTAACACATTCTGTAGCCACACACATGTCCATACACATTGCACTAGACAAGTCCCCCAACAAGGACCATCCGATGGTCCCACACAGGGTGTCTAAGAGCTCAAAAGTGCCCATTGAACACAACCTTCAGTCATCAGCTCCTCGTTTTAGTTAATGGCTAGTTTGTAATCAGACAATAATTAGTTAAATAGCTTTACTCTCCAAGGGGCATTTTACCTTAAAAATAATTTTAAAACGACATTTATGACCAGTACATCCTCTATACAAAAAAAAATGTTTGGGGTTTTGTTTTGTTTCTTTTAATAAGTGAGGTCAATTAAGAAAGGATTCCTAGACAAGCCTTGGCCAGATTTCTTTTTTTTTTAAGAAGTAACTAAGGGACAGAGGTTAGTTGCTGGCTGACTAATCCCTGACTTGCTGCCATCAGGTACAGATGACTTCTTCCAACAGGTGCAGTCAGCTGCTCATGAATGTTACCTCTCTGGAGAAGAGCTACCAAACCCTTTTGAGGAATGGTGCATCTCTTCATTTCCCATCAGAAAGACTCACCCTCCTGTTCCTCATAATTTCCTCTTTAATAAGAAAACAAAACAAGCAGAACACATATACAAAAGGAACATAGCAGAGTATGGGCAATTCCAGGGTGAACAGAACTGCAGTGACTTGTGAGAAGTATTTGTTTTGTGGAATAGTATCTTTCACTCTAGTGCACCAACCCTCCCAACCATTCTGTTTCCCTGTCTCTTTACTCTTTAGGAATCCGAGTCCACAGCTGTACTTGCAAAGGACTTCAGTAAAGCACTGAGATGGAAGTTTCCAGAAACAAAGTATTCAGGGTTAGTGACTAGATGTGGGAGCATCTTGCATGCAGCACTTTGGTAGTTTTCCTATCTTCCAAACTAAGTGGACTAAAAGGTAAGCCTTCCTCCTCCAGATAAACTGTTCAGCAGGAAGCATGGGAAACACTGTCTACAGCACCCTGGGTCTCACTGAGGTACATAGGGACATCCACAGTCCAGCCCAGTGTCTGCAATACTCGCTTAGCAGTAACACTGCACCTGCAGCCTACGCTTGTTGCCACTGCTATGAATACTCTTAAAATCAAGGTAGTAACTAGGGGCGAGGGGATATTTAAAATATATACTTTTCATCTATTAAAATAGTTTATCTTTTTACCAAAACCAAAAATTAATTCCAACTGAAAGTGTTTTTCTAATGATTAGTGACATATAAAAGAGTGGCACATGGAAAAATAAGTGTCTTTGCTACTCCCAGTAAGACCAGTCTTCCTTTCAATAATAATTACTAGGATCATAAAGGGAATATATGAAATGGCAGAGATTTCAAGGGTTTTTCTAATGGAATCTCCTTATATCTGCAGACCAGGGTCAGCTCTCCTATTTGGGGCATTGGCATGCCTTCTAGCAGCCCTTGAAGAGAAGTAAAGTGTTATCAATATAAAGTAATGAGACTATTGCATGTTTTTAAAACATACACCCACACCTAGGGACACACAGGTCCCCACCAGAGTATTCTCTGAAGCCACCTATCTTAGCGATGGCCACACACATCCAGCATCCCTGACAACGGTCAGCTATGAGCTGCAGAGAAAGTAGCTCTGTCTGCTTCAAGGGGACACCATGCTTGGGACTCCACATGCTCCTTCCAACTTTCTTAGAAGCTTCAAGCACTCTGGGCTAACTCCAAATCTGAAGTTCTCTCATCTAGAATACCAAAAGCCTGACATCTGCCCTGAGGAAATAGCACTAGAGGTGACCTCCCTCAGCACTAAGGAGGGAGTCTGTAGCTCTAGTTACTTCTAGACTTTGACTGCTTCAGAAACATTCTGATCAAAGGCAACTTCACTGGAAAACTATGCGTATCCTGCAGGGACCTTTCAAGAGGGCCAGCATTGATGCCCTGGAAGGTTTGTTAAAATGCCAGTCACATGACTATGGTAACAGCTTATACAGACACAGGGAACAGCAGCCCACCTGAGAGTCCCTAAAATCATAACATAATCCTTATTCTCATTGAGCCCAGAAGGGCAGAAGCACCAAGCACCACCAGGGATGCAAAAGACACATGGTGTCAGCTGCTAAGAAAAATAAACCCCAAAGGTCCATGGGACTGAATTCACCAGCTGCATCCAGCTAGATACCTTGTTTCCACAGTATGGAGTCTCAGCATTGTCCCTTGCCTGGCTTTGGGGCAAGTTTTTCCTGATTTTTAGACCAAAATTTCAGATAGCCATTGCCACATGGAAAGAAGTAAGAAGCCTCATATTAGTTCATCTCACAGGCTAGGACTCCTGGGAAAACAGGAGTCTGTAAACCGGGTAGGTAAGATCACTGCAGTTCTATCATTTACATCTCAGCAAAGCTACAATCTCAGCAATGTTAACTGCTTCTAGGCAGGCTTTGCAATGTCACAGTCAATGCCTTGCCAGCCTCCCTAGGTAGCCCTGGCATGCCCGTGGGTTGTATTTCCTTTGGGCACCCTGTGATTGTGGAGAATCCATGGGACTTGTGGCCAGGAGACACAGTGGTCAGCCTGGGCTACCCCACTTGGCAGCTGAGAGAACCTGAATGTCTGCACTGCAGCTTCATTATCCAGCTGACACCACTTACAAGTTAGGTCTCAGGAAGACCAGGTGTCAATCACACAGCATCAATCAAATGTCATAGTTTAAACAGAGAATATAATTACCTTCTGGAGAAGCAAAAGGAAGTTCTAAGCTCAACTGATTTAGGTATGTAGGTACTCGTGGCAAAGGGGAGACGAAGACAAACATGATCACCTATTTTATCTTGGACTTTCCAAAGCACTGCACTGTTTGTCTCTGAAGAGTGCATGTTTATCTGCAAGGCTGACTTAAATACTGCTCTTACGAGTATAAGAAGGGATCCTCTCCCTGCCATCTCTAACACTGGCCATCATATTCATGAATAAGGCCATTCAGAATCTCATTCCAAGTGTGTGCCGCCAGATTTGGGCCCAGAAGCCTTCAGAGTTGGCTCACTCAGTGGCCCGGGTCCCAGAGAGCCAAAGATGCAGACCCTTGGCTTTGATTACCAAGGCCCCAAAGCCTCTCAGAACCATATTGGACAGTGTTTTGCCATTGAAAGAAACTCAAAGTAAGAACATTCAGCTAGCTCTTTTGGATAAATGACTGAGGTCAAGGACCTCTGAAAAGCAGGTAACATTACATTGTACAGTCAGTGCTACTTGGTCCCAGCCAGGCTGCCGGACCGTAAGAGATACTGATCCATGTTTCCTTTCCGCCTGTTCCCAGTCCGCCTCTCACTGTCAAATATGCGCTGTGACTGCAGAGCCATTGGCTGGTCCTCTTCCTCCTGCTGCCATTTCCGCCCCACCTCATGCAGCCCTGAGTCTTTGGGGGCCTGGCCCATGTCACTGCTGGGTGGTCGCAGTTTCTTAACACCATTTTGTTCCAAGTGCTTGGTCTTACAGCGCCTTTTCCGGCCCCTACGCAGGGTAGGAATTGGCTCCTCTCCTAAACTGTCAACCAGAACACCATTAGCCAGATCAAAGTGACTGAGTGTCTTTAGCTGTTTCTTTGTTTTGAGAGCCCCACCCAAAACATCATTTTTGGGCAGCACTGAATTAACTGCTGAGATCTTCATGACTGTGCTTATACAAGTTTTGTCTAATGTGGCATCTAGGGTGGATCTTGACTCCTCAAACTGCTCCCCTTCCAAAGAAGGCCCAGTGGCTACTCCTCTGTGCTCTGAGAAATGGCAGCTTTCCAGTGGAACCTCGTGGCTCCTTTTTCTAACATAGTCCTGTCCCATTTTTGTCTGGTTAACAGAAGGGAAATACTCAAGGGCAGGGGAGGTGGGCCCAGCACACTCTGAAAGCATCTGGGCCCTGGACAGTCTTGTACTTAAAGCCAGAGGCAGCCTCTCCTTGCTGGAATGGATAGCTTCAGAGCCTGGCAACTCTTCCCCTCCTTCGGGGGCCAGGGATGTGAGAGTGGCTTTGGAAAGGGTCTTCTTGAACTGCCGCTCCTGGAAGATCTGCTCCCACTTCTTGAGGATCCGTGGACTAGCCTCGTAGGAAGTCTGCTTCTGCAGGCTTCTGGTCAGGTTGCGAGGTGTTGACTTGATGATGAGAGGGCTTAGCACGCGGCCGTCGGGGAGTCTCTTGGGAGGGGTGCACGGTGAGCAGACAATGGGCTTGAAGTGGTTTAGTTCTTCAGAGATACTGTCATTGCTTTCAGGGCTGATAGAGCGCTCTGGCTTGTGCAAGGGAGCCAAGGATGAAAGGGAGCTGAAGGGCAGGCGCTTTTCTACGGTTAAGTCAGGGGCCGAGAGGCAGCGGTTGTTTTGAGTGGACAGGAGAACACCAATAATGGGGGTGGATCCTGGAGTTATAGTTGTGACCTGAAAGAAATACAAAGATTGTGTATGTGTGTAGTGTGTGTTTATATTTTTCTTTACTTTTTGTATTATTTTTTATTTTTAAAAACGCACGTGCGTGCGTGCGTGCATACGTGTGTGTGTGTGTGTGTGTGTGTGTGTGTATGTGTGTGTGTGTATGCATATGTATGTGCAGGTGTCCAAAGAGGCCAGAAGAGGGTGTTGGATCCCCTGGAGCTAGAATTATGGGAAGCAACTGCCTGATGTGGATCTAGTTCTCTGCAAGAACAAGTGCTCTTAATTATCGAGCCATCCCTCTAGCCCTCTCACACAGGTATTTGTTTCTACTTAAGCCCTTTACATGATGCGAGAATAGGGAAGGAAGGTAGAGAAAGGGTAATGTGTACTGAAAAAGAAATTCCTAGCCTAAAACATATACACACACTTGAAGGAGTTATCAACATTAAAATATGAAGATACTTTTAGGAAGGTGTCTATAGGGCTGGAGAGATGGCTCAGTGGTTGGGAGGGCTGGCTGATCTTCCAGAGGTCCTGAGTTCGGTTCCCAGCAACCACATGATGACTGTGAGATTTGGTGGGATTTGGTGCCCTCTGCTGGCCTGCAGGGATACATTCAGGCAGAGCACTGTATACATAATAAATAAATAAATCTTATTTAAAAAGACATTTTTTTAAAAAGGTATCTATAATGGCTTAATACCCCCATCTGTTCACTAATTTGAACCTTCTTTCTTCATACTTATCTGTACAATTCTGTACATAACTAATGTAATCTGCCTTGTGCAGGGGAAGCTATGCGTGTGTTGAGGGAGAAGACAGGTGGGAGAGCCCCAGCAGCCTGAGGCCGAAGTGTACCTTGGCTCTGTTGGGTGGAGCTGTTCTGAGCCTGCTCTTCACTCTGTCCTGAACTGTGTCACTGCAGCTCTGACTCCTCTGCACCTTGGTGTTAAGCTTCCTAAAAAAAGAATATATAGTTAAAATTAGTCCATACATGAGTTTAGGAAAAGATGACCACCTCTTTCACCATTCTAATTCACTCACCAAGAAAGAATTCCCTCAGGAAGCTATAATAGAAAATGGGTTAACTTATTAACCAAATGCCAAAGAGGAAGAAAGGACACTTAGCTCAGGCTTGTTTCCAGACCCTGCCTTGATGAAGGAGAGAGGACGGCTGTTTGCTAGGCTTACAGAGTAGGGGTACTTTACCTCCCTGAGAAGGGTGTGTAGAACATTCAATCTCCTTACAAACAAAACGTGTTCTTCTGATTAGACCCAAACCTCTTCACAAGCAATCTAAGGCAGCCATGAAACAGAAATGGAAACATTTAGGAAGATGCACTACAATGCTCTGTGTTTTTATTTAGGGAGTCAAAATTAAGTGTAATGTCTTGCTAACCCATTTACATTTGAGTTTCCAGAGACCTAAGTCCCACTGACTTAAAAGTGTTCCAGAACACGATTTTTATCTTGTGTATTATGACTTTAGAATTTTTGTTGCACTTAATGTGTGTGGGTGTTTTGCCTGCATGTATATCTGTATAACACATACATACCTGGTGACCACACCTGGGAGAGGGCACTGAATCCCCTAGGACTGCAGTGACAAATGGTTGTGAGCTGCTATGTGCATGCTAGGAATCTAACCTGGGTCCTCTGGAACACTGAGCCATCTCCTGAGCTCCTGTACTATGGCTTACCACACTCCTCAGTACCTGCACTGAATGCTGTGGTCCACTGCACTACAGTGCGATAAATGAAGTAACGGGGAGGTTGTCATCTAACTAAAGCTCCCCGTGGTTTGTTGTTGTCTTTCACTTCTCAAGGATTTTATAATATAGTTGTTACATTTGAGTCTTTGATTCATCTGAACTAAACTTTGCATGTGGAAAAGGTTGGGGGTCTAACTTCCTATCAGTTCTATGGAATTTACTAAGGAATTGCATGCAGACAATAAGCAGTCATTATATTACACTACAACTTATTTTTCAACTCTGCTTTTATCAAACATTTATCACATACTCAGTACATACAAGACACTGATGGGCCCAGGCACTGAGAATCCAGAAAAGATGAGACAGTCCAGGTCTTCAGGGAATCAGATCAGTGGGACAGACAAATGTCTCAGTTTGTAAATTACATAATTTTTTTTGGTTTTACGAGACAGGGTTTCTCTGTATTGTTTTGGAGGCTGTCGGACCAGCCTGGCCTCGAACTCATAGAGATCCGTCTGCCTCTGCCTCCCGAGTGCTGGGATTAAAGGCGTGCGCCACCACCGCCCAGCTGTAAATTATATAATTTAAAGGCATAATAAAACAGTCATGGCATAAGAGGCAGAAATGGCAAAAAAGAGTGTTATTAATAACTGAGATGGAATAAAAAACTGAAAAATCTATAACATGTTCATTTTGCTGAATGAATATGTATTTGAATAAGTATTTGCAATAAATCAAGGCAGACACATCACTATGTAGACAATTCTAAACAAATTATTTCCTCAACTGACACTATTTAGCTCTTTAATGGGATGCATCATATGAACTCTTTTGTAGGAAATATTCTAACATCAGAACTAGCTCATAGAAAACTTAGGGAGGGAGGTATGGTGGGAGGGAGGGAGGAAGGGAGGGAAAAGGAGGAAGGATCATCCTAGTAGAGAAGGTCTGGCTACCACTCAGAATAGCTTCTATTCCAGCACCTATGTGGTTTCTCCCATTCTATGTCTTATGGCCATACAGGGAAAATGGTGGCTGTGTAACACATACTTGCATTTTAAAAACAAATTCAGTAGTTAACTCAAATGAGATGAGAATCTCCCACAATTTTGGAGGAGGCAAAAAACTTCAATATCACCTTAAGAAGACAGCTCCTTAGAAGCAAGCTGGATTGATACTTTACTTAGAAAATATTTAAGTTTATTTGCATTTCTAGAAGTTAGGCAAACTATCAGTTACCTAAGACCTGAGGTGGTCATGACTCATGTGTTTGGTCCCTAGGAAGTGGCACTGTTAGGAGGTGTGACCTTTTTGGAGGAAGTATGTCACTATGGGGATGGGCTTTGGGGTCATATATGTTCAAGTTATACTCAGTGTGGCACACAGTCTCCTGTTGCCTGCAGATCCAAGGTGTAGAACTCTCAGCTCCTTCTCCAGCACCATGTCTGCCTACACACTGCCATGCTTCCTGCCATGACAATAATGGAGTAAATCTCTGAAACTAAGTCAGCCCCAATTAAATGTTTTCCTTTATAAGAATTGCCATGGTCATGGTGACTTTTCACAGCAATAGAAACCCTAAGACACCACCACAAAGGGCTTTTTAAAAAATGTGCACCATGGATTTAGAGCTGAAAGAGGCAGTATTATTATTTCAAATACATGGCTTTTGGTGAGGCAAACAGACAATGAGAGGAAAAGATTTTCTGACCAATACAAAAAAGAAGACCTTTGCAACTTTTGGTACAGCAGTTCTCTGGAACACTGAATCCGATGCCACTGGAGGAGTCAAGCTGAAGCTGCATCTAAACCACGAGTTCCCAATTTTGTATTAGGAATTAACAATACAGGCTATGAATCCATCTTGTCAGGGGTAATGACCAAGGTGACAGTCCAAATTACAGACACACAAATGACAACTGCCTGCAGCTGGGAAAATCACTTCCCATCTCTCCCCCTCAGCTCCATATTGGTGAAGAAAAGACCCAGGGAGCAAACTCACATTTGTAGTGATGAAGCACAAATGAAGACACCTACAGAAGTTTCTGATAGTGAAAATATTTCTGATAAACTTTAGCATCATTGAAATTTTCTTTATCATTTCATTTGGAAAGCACACTTTGAGCAGCAACTTGATGCAAAGAAAAAGAACTGGAGACCAGCTCATAACAAGGTAATTCAGAGACACATTTTGTCACCGAAGGCTACCACAATAGAGTGTCATGAGAGGGTAATTATTATATATAACCTCAGAGTCTGTTCTTCTAAGGGTTTCATCTCTCACATTCTTGCATGTTGATTCCCAGCTGTGCCAGCACCATGTAAAGAGGTAATGTTTCTTCCCAATGAATGATCTTAACACCTTCTTGAGAATTAACTGACCACAATGTACACACCACTTCTGGACTCCCAATCCTAAATCCATTGTTCTATATCCATTCCCTCTTCCAGCATCACACTGTTTTGATTGCTACCATCAATATGTCCTTTCTCTGGGCAGTGTTGGTCATTTGGAATCTCCTGATCCCACATGTGAATTTTAGTATCAGTGTCCACTTCTGCAAGAGAGTCTACTGAAACTTCAGCATGTACATACTGAACCTATTCATAAAAATTATTCAGGTATTACTGACATTCTAACAAATTAAGTCTACCAAGATGTCATTCCTTTATTTAGGTTCTATAACAAAAAAACTTTGGTGTTTCAGTATTAAGATTTTATGCTTTTCTGGTTAACTTTATTTCTAATTATTCTACTGTTTGATCCTAGTAATGGAGCAAAATGGGATGGTTTACTCATTGCACTTTTAAAGAGGGCAACTTGCAGAAGATAAAACTGACTCCTGCAAGTTGCCCTCTTACCTCCACAGGAACACATACACATACACACACTTATATACATAATAGGTGTAAAAGATAAATAAAACTAAGTCTTAATGAAGATGATGGTATTAATAAGATTTTGGCTTGATGTGACACCTATGGGAGACAGACTCCAATGATGCTTCCTTGTGGGTTGGTCATGCTCATATAATATCCAATTTGCTGTCTCAAAACCTAAACTAACAATTGAACTTCACCTGACTTGAATATTTGTAAGATGAGTCCTGAGATCCAGATTATATAGTATCAATCTTAACGTGAGCTAAAAAAAAAGTCTAAAGTCAGTGCTTGCATATTAACTGGTTCTATCGTGGCAAGAATAGGCTAGGAGATAGGAAAGAAGATATGGAAGAAATGTTCTACAAGCACACTCCTCTGTGCTTGTGCAATTCTGTCCGAGAGAGAATAACTTTTAAGGCCTTTATGTAATGGCATATTAATCTGCAGGCCATCTTTCATAAGAATGAATTACACCAGTACAAGAGTAGAGCCAGAACTGGGGATAAGCAATTCACACATTCAGTATGTACTCCAACAGGGGCAATGACCCTTTGGTACAGGAACAATTTATTCTTTAAAGTATATTTCACAGTATAATATTAATTGTGATTTCTTATTAGAAAGAATGATTTTATTTTCTTCCTGTTTTATAATTACTAAGATATAAATATGATTGGGTATACATAATCAGGAAGTGACAACTATTCTGACTTGTAGTGCTGGAAGAACATCTGTACTGGCTCACACACAGTGAGTGTATCTTCATCACTGTGTGTGACACAGGCTTACCCACTTACTGGTTCTGATTCTATCAACTAAGCTATCAGTCTAGGACAAATGGCCATTCCACAAACTTCACACACGTGAATAAACATGAAGGGAAGGCCCTGCAGGAGGTACTATCACTCCAGGGATGACACCTACAGCAAAAGGAGACCTGGTGACTTTTACTCTTAGAAATCTTCAACAAAGGACACCAAACTGCTCCTGAAGACCATACACAAAGGTTTCTGGAGCAGACAGTGAAGCAGAGACCTTCCAGGACAGACCCTATAACGAAGTTAGAGACTTGGTAGCTTGCCATAGTTACACACAGAAACCCTTCACAGGAAAGAAGAGTCCATGTGTGTCTAGAGAGGCAGCAAAAAGTGACAGCTACTACATAGTGTTGGCAAGAAAAAAAAAAATAGCCCTAGCAAGAAGGACAAATAATGCCAGCTTTAAGTAAAAAAGAAAACAAAATGGGGTCAAGATTGTGCTTCATACCCTGTATTAAAATGGAGCATAGCATATAGTGGCTACTTCTAAAACATCCACCAAACAAATGAATGATTCACTGTCTGCCTGCCTGCCCTTCATTATTCCTCCAGGGTCAAGCAATCACCCAAACTTGCTCTCTCTTCTTCCCCAGGACCTGCAAAGCCTAAAGGATCTAGAAATACTTTGATTAGGGTTTTTAAAAAGTTCCTGAAACCCATGTTAGATCTAGCCAAAGAAAAGAGCGTCAACCCAGTCCTCATCCCTTCTAAGAGTTTTAAAGTCCACAGGGAAAGTCTAAAGATACTGTCAAACTGAAAAAGACTCATCATTTCCACAGGAGAAAGGGTCATATTGTGCAACTACAGCATTAACATAATCCTCCCCAGAGGATTCGAGAAATGGGTAAATATACTCTTCTATAAAAATTCAGAAGGGACTGAGTTTGATTTCAAAGGCCACTTGCTTGTTATCCTAATGTTAGGAAGGTGAGGACAGTTGAGTCCTGGGCTCCCTGGGCAGTCCGTCACCCAGTCCACTTGGCAAGCTTCAGGCCAGCCAGGTACCCTGTCTCAAAGAACAAGATAGATAGCTCCTGAGGAATACCACTGGAGGTTAAACACACACACACACACACACAACACACACACACACACACACAAACACACACACACACACACACGTGAGCCCCTTCTCTGTAATCTATATTTTTTTTCTTTTTCGAGACATGGTTCTTTTGTATAGCCTGGATGTCCTGGAACTCTCAGAGATCTGACTGCCTCTGCATCCCAAGTGCTGGAATCAAAGGCATGTGCCACCACTGTCCGGCCACACACACATTTTTAAAAATAAAAAATAAATTTCAATTCCCATCTCTTTTTACCCCTTCTACTTTTACCCCTTCTGAAGACCCTGTTATACCCCCAAATGAAAGACCTCTGAGTGAATTCAGTTGTCAGTCTCTTACCCTGCCAGGAAAGCTAAGGAGTAGGAGCTGTTCTTGGAAACAAAGGCTGAACGATGCGTCTGTATCATTTGGCCCCGAGAGGGTTCTTCATTCTCTGAATCTGAGAGACGTGCAGGACACTGGCAAAGAGACAAGGGAGATAAGATTGGGTTTCCCATGGAATCTATCATAGCTATAGTTTCAAAAGTTCAGTCTCTAAATCTCTTTTCTGACTTCCAATTTGACTACAAACACTTTCTGAAAATATGAATTGCAAATGTGGCTTTAACTGAAAATATCCCAAATCAAATTAACCCATTATCAAATTGCATATGATTATTTCCTTCCAACTCTGGGAGAGAGGTGACAGACTCAACACAAGGTAAACAATGGCAACCTCTATGTGTTTGGTCTCTTTTCATAAACAATTTGGTACCAAGTAAAAGACTCTTCAGATCCATCTCTATCAGTGTCACTCTAGGTCAGTGATTCATCTTTTAGTCTGTTCTTGCTGTCTCTAAACCAGTGGTTCTCAACCTGTGGATCACAACCCTCTCTACAAACCTGTCTCCAAAATAGTTACATTATGATTCATAACGATAGCAAAATTATAGGTATGAAGTAGCAACAGGAATAATCTTATGGTTGGGGGTGACCACAACATGAGAAACTGTATTAAAGGGTCATGGCATCAGGAAGGTTGAGAACCACTGCTCTACTGTAGAGATTCTGCTAAGCTGACGGAGTATTAAATAAACTAGCAGGTAAATCCTCAAAAAATAGATCTTACCTTTCTTTATTAACTTAAATAGTATTAAGAAAAAGGCTTAGTTTTATACTATTCACCAAATTCCTTTTAACTGATGAAAACTAAATTGCATTATTGCAAATAAATATCTACATAGACAAAGCTACCCATGTCTCCACTTTCCACACCCACAGCCTAGAAACATTAGATATGGACTATTTACCTCTCATCTTTCACCTTGCATATAAATAAGCCTCAGACACTGTGGGTCCTTAAGACAGTATGGAGCATGGAAAAATGAAATGTCTGCAGTGACACTCAAAACAAGTGCTGTCCCTCCCAAGGGCAGGCTGGCGGTGTCAGGGAAGCAGGTGTGGAGCTTTCATATACTCAGAAAGGAGCTCATCTACACCACATTCTCTGGGGGACAAGTGAGCAGCTTCGAAGCACACTGCCTTTCACCTGGTCATCTACTTTTAGTAATTTACACAGTGGCATTTGAGACAGCCAGGTACCTACAGGAGATTAAAATAGTCAAATTGTACTAGGGGATACTGAAGAAAGATTAATTCCTTATTTACAGGGAATGACACAATTTATAATTAACTAAAAGAGGATTATAAAGCAGTATGTATACAAAGTAACATTTCTGGATGAAAATAACATGTAATGTGTGCACAAGGGAATGTGTTCAAGCACGTGTGTGTGTGTGTGTGTGTGTGTGTGTGTGTGTGTCTGCAGTCAGATTAGAATAATTACCAAAATGCTTGTAGGAGTTACTTCTAGGTTGTAGGATAATTAATCTTTCACTTCTGATTTATAATCCTTAATATAACTGTTCTCTGACAATTCCCACCACAAGAAAATAACAAATTAAACATTTTATTACCATTATAAAAAAATAGATCATAATCTCTCCTTTCTTAGAAAGAATATGCTCTTCTTTCTAAGTTTAATAATTTCATGAGCATGCATGAAAAACTTGTGATGGGCAAGGAATTGTGGGAGGTTTCTAATTGACTCAGACACATGTTGATAATCTCATATAGAAACAAAAATCTATAAGGAAATCAGGAAATCTTTTAAGAGTCGCAAAGATTAAGGGTGAAATGAGGAAAGGAGGATGAGTGACATGAGGGGTCTCTGCCAGTTTTAAAGTACAGCTTTTAAACCAGACATAGCGAGACGAACGATAACCTTTCCATCAGCAAGCTGCTGAAAATGCACATGAGAAAGGAAAGCAGAGTGCATATGTTGGCAGCAAACAGTTCTGCTCTTAGAGCATATTCAAGGATGGGAAGACTAGCTAGAATCATGCTTAAGGATGGACGTGGGTGCCAGATGAAGAGTTCTCATTTAGTTCTCAAAGAAGTGTAGAGTCCTTGAGGCTTGATGATAGGAAAGTGTAATGACACGGCACAGCCTTCATACTAAGAATCCTCTGGCTGGCTTTCCATTAAGACTATTTCAGATTCACTTGGGTCCCAATTTTAATATAATGAAATCATTTGTTCAAGACCAACACTTGCTTTTCCCAAGTACAGAGGACTGAACACTGGTTTTACACATGCTAGTCAAGTGCTTCTCTACTGTCCAGTCCTTGTTGAAACTTTTATTTTAAACAGTCTCACTGAGCTGCCAGAGGTAGCCTTGAGCTCACATGAAGGTACAATCTTACAACTTCAGTCTCTCAAGCAGCTGAGAGCACATGCTTGCGTCAGTCTAAAAACTATTAAAGCCATTTAAAAGTCTTCAAAAATATAAAAGGAAATAGGAGGGCAGAAAAGGGCAGGATCATAAAAATCCAAAACAGGTCAGATTTTACTCACTGTGCTTTTCACTGGCAATGTTGGAGACCTGGCTATTACCAATAAGGGAATCTGAAGGCCTATATTTTCTGATTCCTTTAAAGAAGTGACCTGCACTGGTATAACTGCTTTCCACTTCAAGGATGGTAGTGCCAAAAGAAAAATAATTATGACTCCCAGCCATGACATGAAGTCAGTACTAGAGACCAGTTCCTGGAGGAGATCTGGATCTGCAGGCTCCTTCCATGGAAAGACCATCTCTTGCAGGATTTGAGGCCTTTTGAACTGTTTGCCTGAGGACACTGCAAAGTGACAGCTGGGGCTGAGGTCCAACCAGCATACATCCTACTGCATCCTAAGCTAATGCGAATGCATTTATCCTAGCAGCAGATCTTGAGCCTTTCCATGTTCCTGGGGTGCACAGCATTGAGAGCACACAGCATTTTAGCTTGTTAAATGGAATCAAGTGCCTTTGTTTTATTTTTATTGTTTTGAGAATAGCCTTGCTACATATATAGCCCAGGCAGGCCTAGAACTCAACTACAGAGCTCAGAACAGCTTAACTGCAACTCTCCTGTCTCAACCTCCCATGTGTGTCACAATGGTCTGTTTCCAAGTGGTTACTTTTAATAATAATGACGATTAAGACTATAAACAGAATCGTTTGTCATCTGTATATAGTAGTCAGCAAATACACTGACCCAAGACAGCTTAAAAAACATGTTTCTGGAGCTCATGAAAAAATGTCTTTATACAGACTAAGCCAGCAGTGAGCAGTAATGCTGGTTGTGGAGAGCTGTTTTCCTTCTCTCTCCCCCCTCTCTCTCCTCTCCCCCCCCTCTCTGTGTATGCATGTGTGTGTGTGTGTTCTTATTTATTTTTATTGTATGAATATTTGGCCTGCATGTTCATGTTCCCCACATGCATGCCTGGTCCCCCATGAAATTCAGAAAAGGGTATCAGATCCCCTGGAACCAGAGTTATGGGGTGCTTTGAGTCACCATGTCAGTGCTGGGAATCAAACCCAGGTCCTCTGCAAGAACAGCAATTTCTCCACCCCCCCACACTTTCCTACTCTTTTATGTTGCCTATCTTCACATATATTAAGGCTTCATTAATTTCAACCCATTAAAAAAGTAACCTGAAATTTTAACCAAGTTATATAAAAATACTTAAAAGATATGACTCAAAATATATATAGTAATCATTAAATGTTCAAACCATTTTAACTAGAATTGTTATTGAACTGTTATTCTTCTATATGAATATAATTACATTTTCAAAAAGTATTTCCTTGGTCCAGTGAGATGGGCTGATGGGTGAAGGTACCTGACCATTTAGTTCAATCCCCAGGACCCACATGATGGAAAGAGAAAACTAACTCTCACAGTTTGTCTTTTGATTGCCACGTGTGCATCAGAGTACACATGTGCTTACACATATACATATAAGTAACAATAGTAATGAAAAATGTTCAAGCAAGTTTTGGCCCAATCATGTGCTTAATTGGTTAAGCTTAGACTACTCATCTAATATTAAGGACACATTTTTGGTGTGGGGGTGGGGTTCAAGACAGGGTTTCTCTGTGTAACCACCCTGGTACTCAAGATCTGTAGATCAGACTGGCCTCGAAGTCACAAAGATCTGTCTGCCTCTGCCTCCACAACCACGCCCAGCTGAGGATGTACTTGTATCTAAGCACTGTCCTGCTTAAGAGATAAAAGAAAGCAAAATACAGCTTTGAAGAACTCTAATTGAGGATATTAAGATGTATAAAGTTTGATGGAAAAGCTGCACATATGTCAATATAAAGGTAAACATACAAATCTTATCACATGTAGAAGCTATCCCAGGTTGCCATGGGTTCCACTGTCCCATTCAAAATTACGTCCTCCATCTCCCTCTGGACAGAAAGCACTTCCCTAATCTTAGGCTGTGCCATGGCTCACCAACACAGAGCTCTCAGACCCACGTCCCTGGCTGAACGGCCAGACTGAGCACAGTCCATCTGGATTACAACTAACCTGCTCCAGACTTGTTCTCAACACTGCTGGCTCATCTCTTTTTTTCTGTTCATCTGTTTTCCTTTTCCCCATTTCTGAATCCTCCTGCAGTATCTTGTGGGTCTGATCTTCACAAGTGTTTTCTTCTTGTAACTTCTCTTCTCTCAGCTGAAAAATATAAATCACAGAGAAACAATGGAGTTTTAGGAAATCTCAGACTTAAAACTTCTTTACAGACTAGACAAGTGGCAGCCTCCATAGTGACTCTCATTAGACATGGTCACTCCAATTTTCACATAAATCTGTTTTTACTTGGCTCTAGCTAAACATACTTCATGAAGACTGAATTGCTCTGCATTATTATTTTCCCAATAAATTTTGTATATAAGTAAATATATATATAATAAATATTAATAATTGTGTAATGTATATGCAGCAGACCTAACTCAGATCCATAGAGTCCACGATTGTCACTTCAGTCTTTGTGAGTCCCTATGAGCTTTGCTTAGTTGATTCTGTGGCTGTGTTCTCAAGGTGTCCTCAACCCCTCTATCTCCTACAATCCTTCCTCCCTCTCTCCTGTGGGGCTCTCCTGGCTCTACCTAATGTCTGGGTCTCTGCATGTTTTCATCAGTTGCTGGATGATGCTTCTATGATGACAACTGGGTAGGCACTGATATAAGTATAGCAGAATATCATTAGGAGCTATTTCACTGACTTTTTTTTTTTTTGCCAATCCTGTTTGGTTCTATCAAAAATCATTTTACCTGCTTGTTGGGGGTGGGGGCAGCATGTTACTTTAGAGCCCAAATGGCCTTGAACTCTCCAGCCTACTGCCTCAGTTTCTCAAATGCTGGGAGTATAGGCATGTGTCATTATACTTGATCTAGTTTTGAATTGTACATACATGGAGTTTTATGCTTTTTGACTGTTATCCCTCATTGATTGCTCTGTGATACTTATCTCTGTGTGTTCCTTCTCATTTTCTTTTTGTATTCTATTGTTTAGTTTTAAAACCATTTAACTATTCATAGATACCTAGAGAAACATTCTAGTCTGTGACTATTTAGAAATAAGCTATATTCTTGACCACTTCCCCAGGTATGTGCATACCACAGAATAGTATCTAGAGAAACTCTGAGTCATAAGATATCGGCATGCTGCCAGTTTTTCAAGTTGGTTATCAAACTACACTCCCACCTGCAGCCCCTCAGTGTGGGAGGACAACAGTAGCTCCCAGATTCTCCACCACCCAGTGCTCTATTTTTGCCATCCTGTGGGTTGGTACTGCATTATGACTCTAATCTGCATTCCTCTGATAACAGCCCTGCAGAGTATCTTTCCAAGCTCACTACTTGTACATCTGCTTCTTGGCCTGGGTATTCACATCTTTGCCCTGCTAATAAGAGTTATCTATAGTCTTTGGAAATGAGGATTGCCAGGGTAAATTACATGTATCTACACATATGTCTCTGTGTTATAACTTAAAGGTGTTCACCAAAAGTTCATGTGTTGAAAATGTAACCCTCATATTTGCATGTTAACAGAATTGGAAGACAGGGCTCTGAGAGATTAGGATTTGCTGCAGTCATGAGGGTGGGGTCCTCCTGATCACATTAGTGACTTCATAATGAGAAGAGAGATGTGCTATGCTAGCATACTCGCCATCTTAACATGTGTATTAGTTACTTTTCTGTTGCTACGATAAAATACCATGACCAAGATACTTAAGAAGAGTTCATTTAAGCTAGTGGTTAGAGAGTGGTGGTCCACGACGGCAGAACAGAGGCATGACAACTGCAGGTCATCTTGAACCATCAGGAAGTAGAGCAAAGGAAAGGCACCAGGCTTTTGAGCCTCAAACCCTGCCCTAGTGACATACTCCTTCCAGCAATGCTACACCTCCTAAGCTTCCCCAAACAGTACCAATTAGGAACCAAACATTCAAATGACCAAGACTCATCAGTAATCTCCTACCCCTTCATTTCTGGGAAATCATTAACCGGATTACTACTACTACTATAGACTAGTTTTGGTGATTATAAGATTATGCCACTTAAGGACAGAAAGACAGCTCAGTCAGGAAGGCACCTGTCATGCAAACATGAGGACCTATGTTCTACAGCTCTTGTAAAAGGTCAGATACCTTGGTCTATGTTTGTAATCTCAGAACTAGAGGGGCAGAGACAGAAGGATTCCTTGGGGCTTGTTGGCCAGCCTGCCTCATCTAACTGGTGAGACCTAGGTTCCAGAGAGAGACCCTGTATCCAAACAAGGTAGACAACACTTAAAGAATAACCCCATGGTTAACCTCTGGCTTCCACATTCACAGAGCCCTAAATTCTCTATGTCAGTTGTTCAGTTTGCTTTTTGAAATTTATTCATATAACTGAGTTTGTTGGTCGATATTCCTTTATATTAGTAAGACCTATTTCACCGCATGAACATACCCCACTTTTAAATTTTACTCAGTATTAGAAAGTGCAGGTTGAAATACAAAAGCTACTGCTAAAATGCTTTCCATGGTGGGTACATCACTGTAAAGTTCCACCTGCATGGCATGAAGTTTCAGCTCTTCCAGATAGTCCCATTCTTTCTTATATTTGGTCTTTTCAGCCATGGAAGGGGAATATAAGGTGCTATCTCTGTGGTTTTAGTTAGTATTTCCCTGATGGTTAATTACACTGTCTTTTCATGTCCTTAATAGGCTATGTTATTTTGTGAAATGACTGTTCAAACCTTTTGCCCTTTTATAATTTTATTTATTTACTTATTATCTTATTAGCATGTAAAAGAACTTCTGACATATCCTGGATACAAGTTCACTGTTTGATACACATTTTGAAATTATTTCCTCCTAATCTTTGTTTTGCCTTTTCGTAAATAGAGTTCTGTTGGTCTAAATAGTAAAAATCTAGGGTCAGATATAGAGGAAAATGCTAAGAGATCAGAGAGGTGACAGAACAAGCCACAGCCACCTTTACCTCATTTGCTTGCCAGCAGAAAAGAGCGTGTTCCTGTTTTGTCCCACTTATATCCACTCTCCGCCCAGCCATCATACTTCCTGTCTCCACCCAGGCATCTCACTTCCTGTCTGTCTGTACAGACCTCCAGACCTCTATGGTTAGCTAATGGCAAGCTCCATTCTCTGATCTTCAGACAGCCTTTATTTGTACAAGCAAGATATCACCACATATCCCCCTTTTTGTCTAAAAATGAAAAAGGTTATAACCAATATAAGAAAACTATATACAATATTCATAATAACTATATATATAGGCAATAAGTACATCAACAATATCTAGTCGATTAGACTAGTCTTCATTATCTATTCTTTCTTGATGAGTTCAAAGTCTTGTATCTAATTTACTTTCTATTCTAATTTGTACTATCAAATTATCTTTTAATGTCTTTCAAACCTTTTACACTTAACACATCTTAGTGTGTTTCTTTTCTGCATCTGATAAACAATGAAAACCATAACTATATTATCTAGTGTTCAATTCCCTCAGAGTCCCAAGACTGTTTTAAAAGGGCTATAAAGATGGCTCAGCTCAGCTCTGCCCCTAGCCTGAGGGTGGTGGTCACAGTAGCTGGGACCAACCAGCTCAGTTACCCAGACCCACATCCTGGGCCTTGGATTAAGCTACCATAACATCTACCCCATCTATGACCAGCTGGAGTATGTGGAGGAAATGGTCCTGTGGAATGATAACCGCAGGATCTCCATAACTCAAGGCAACAGCAGGATATCTGAGAGGAGTTTCGGTGAGGAGATGGTATGCCAGAGGCCTTGAAACAGATCAATGACTCATTGCAATAAACATTTGTGGGTGGGGATGGCTGGACAAAAGGGTATACTGTGTGACATACTGCAGCTCCCAATGCCTCTAGGATGAATGAAGAGGTATTGGAAAGATGGAAGATCAAGGTGGTTTGCTTTGTTTTGTTTTAAATTAATTTTGGGGAGTCATGCTGCAAAGATGAGGGATATGGAGGGACTTGGAGGTGAGCAAGATTGAGGTACATGATGTGAAATTCCCAAAGAATTAACAGAGAATTATGAGCCTATAGGGCAATTTTCATTCAATGGAAACTTTCCACTCCCTGGCCCCCATAGGCCAATAGCTATATCATAATGCAAAATGCATTTAGTACAACTTTAACAGTCTCTACAGTCTATAGTAGTCTCAACATTGTTAAAAAGTACAAAATTCAAAGTCTCTTCTGGGACTCATGCAATCTCTTATTGTAAGCCCTGTAAAATCAAAATGAAAAAGCAGATCACATACTTCCAACATACAATGGAACAGGATATATATTACCATTCCAAAAGGGAGGAGAGGGAGCACAGCAAGGAAATACTGGGCCAAAGCAAGATTGAAAACCTGCTGGGCAAACTCCAAACTCTGCAATTCCATGTCTGATGTCAAAACCCTCTTCAGTTTTCCAACTCTTTTCAGTTGTGTTAACTGCAACACAATTCTCTCTTGGACTGGTTCCACACCCTGTTAGCAGCTCTCCTTGGCAAATACCCCCACGGCTCTGGCATCTTCAACATTTTGGAGTTTCTAAGGCAATCCCAGGCTTCATCTTCACAATGGCCTCTCTAAGCCTACATGCAGAGACACCCATGACACATGCCTGGCTTCAGTGGCTTGTCTTAGTTGTGGAGGGAGATTCCATAATTCCTTTCTTTCAACCTTGATTCTAAAGCCAAAAACACATGGCCTCAGCTGCCAAGTTCTGCTGCTTGCTGGGGCTGGAACATGGCCTCCTTGTTCAATTACATCTTCACCAGCTTTCTACTTTCGATGGTTCTTTCACTGCCTAAGCTTGGCTGTCTGGAAATTTAAACTGTAGACTACACTGGTCTTAACTTAGAGATCTGCTTGCCTCTGTCTCCTGAGTCCTGGGATTAAAGGCATATATCACCATGCCTGACCCTAAGATTTTCTTTAATTCCTTTTCACAAATTATAATCTTAGTTGAGTGAAGTCTCATCAGGATTTTCTTTAAACTTTTTCCTGGTGCTCCTTTTCTCCTCAAACTCTCTATTTTATATTTTTCCTTGCTAGTTTGCTTCTTTTCATTATAGATCTACATAAGACTGGCCACTAATAGCCAAGAAACACAGTCAATGCTAGGTTGTTTTGAAATGCCCTATG